AGACAAAATTAAAGCAATTATCTTACCTAACTCTCTCCCTAAAAACTGTTCTTTTTTACCTCATCTTTATCAAGAATTAAATCTACAATGTCCTATCTATGGAAGCCAGCATACTTCCTTAATTTTCGATTATCTTTGACCGCAGCAGACAAAAGTTAAAGAAAAATTTATTGCTATCGAACCAAATAAAAGTCTAAAAGTGGCTGAATTTAGTTTACGTTTTTTGCCTTTAAATAGTTATGTTCTAGGGAATTTGGCAGTAATGATTAATTATCAAGATCATACTTTTTATTACTTACAAGATTTTATTTTAAATAACTTGCTAAACAACAATTACTTATCTGATACTGCTTTCTTTTCTCAATTAAAAGACTTACTTATCCATCAAAAAAATACCACTTACTTAATTACTTCTTGCCCTAATTTAGCTTGAAACCGGCAAAATTCTCTACTTTTAGCGGCTCGCAGTTGAGCCAAAGAGAAAAATTACTTTTTCCTACTTTATGATTATGATTGATTACATATTTTTGAATTGTGTGAATTAGCCCAACAATGACAAAAGAAAATTCAAATTTTAGATCCAAGATTCCTTGCACTTTTAAAAAGGGTATGGAAAAATGATAAACTAAAAGAAGTTTTGGTTGAAGAGGGAAAGATTTCAACAGAAAACACCATTTGCTTATTAACGGGTTCTCCTCATAACATTGAAGAACGTTTAAAAACTGCTTTAGCAGAAAAACATTTTAGCAAAAACGAACTTATTGTTTTCGTAGTAGGAATTTCTTCTGCCCATGGTGGTGAAGTTAAAACAGCCAATATTTTGGATTGCCTTTACCGAAAAAAAGGTGAAGTTCTCAATTTTAGCCGTAGTGAAACGTTTTCTTTAGGCACTAGTTTTACTGATTTGAAACTACTTTTAGAAGTAATTCAACCTCACTTAACAATTACTATCCAAAATAGTTATAAACAAAAAAATTATCTTTCTTACTTAAAGAGAAGTCATTTTTTAACTTGCCCTAATCAAAACTATTTAGTACTCCCTGCCAGAAAAATTCATTCTTTCCCGAGCAGAGAATGAGAAACTGAAAAAGTTTTACTTACCCAAAGACAAAATTTATTACAAAATGGCTTTTTAGTTGTTTTTCTGATGCTTAAATGAGAACAAAAAACTTTGAAAATCAAAAATTTACAATTAGAATCTGCTGCTATCGCCCCAACCGTCAATTGAAAAAGGTTAGAAGAAAAAATTAAGCACTGGTGAGAGAAAAAAATCTCTCCTGAATTGCTTAATAGAGAAAAACAAAACAACAATAAATTTGTTGACTACGACGCGACTTCCCAAGAAATGCCTAGAAATTGAAGAAAAAGAACCGAAAGATATTTGGAAATTAATATTGAAAGATATCTAAACTTTGAACACGATATTGAATTAAAATCACCAGTTATTTTATTATTTTTAGAGAAACAAAAAGAAGCAATTAAGTAAAATTTTTCTGCCAAAATCAAAAAATCAGCGTTGTTTTTAATTCTACTAATTTTGTTTTATTGCCGTATCAATAATTTTGTTAAGCAATTCTGGTTGATGAATAGCCATCTCTGATAATTGTTTAGAGTTTAGTTTAATTCTGGCTAATTTAATTGACCTCATTAAGGAAGAATATCTTAACCCTCTTTCTCGACAAAAAATATTTAAACGCAAAATCCATATTCGATGAAAAAATCTTTTTCTTTGTTTTCTTCCGTCATAGGCATCGTCTAAAGCATTCATTAATTGCTCTTTGGCAGTTTTAAATAATTTGTGCTTGGATCCGTAAAAGCCCTTGGTTTGTTTTAAAAATTTTTTTCTTCTCCTTCTGGTAACTGGTGTATTTCTAACTCTCGTCATTATTTATTATATAATTAATTTTTACTCAGCGCCGCACATTTTATTCTTCTAAGATAACATCCTATCAACGGCAATAACTTTGGCTTGGTGAAAAATTAAGAAATTAGGATAAAAGTTTCGGATAGAACCAAGAGTAATTAATGGAACAAGATAACCAGTACGAGAAGGATCGCGACACCATTTAAAGTTAATTCATTAAAACTTTGTTCTACTACCACACTGGCTTTACTTAAGTCAGAGAATTATCGGAAGGCAGGAGACTGATTTGCTTATTTCGCCAATAGTTTTGGCTAAAATTACGGTTTTTCCCGAACCAGTTAAGGCGTCAAGAATTTGAATAAAAAGGAATGGAGGGTTTCTTCCTCTCCTTTTTTAATAACAATGGGCTGACAAAATAGTTTTCTATTTTTCTATTATCTTTAAAGCGGCTTTTTCTTGAAAGCAAGATATTTTCATGCGTATAAGAGCCATTAAATTTAACCTAATTTTTTACCTCAAAATTGTATAAGTATATTTTATTTTCGCTTACTTTTTTTCATATATAGTTTAAAAATATCTATTATGGCGGTTCCCTTTCGACGAACTTCTTCTAAAAAAAAAAAATTGAGACACACAGTTAGTAACCTTAATTTCCAAAAAAGAGCAACTAGAACTTTAACTAAATGTCATAATTGTAAGCAAATAAAAAAACCGCATCGCATTTGCCCCGCCTGTTTAACTTATCGTTCAGCAAAATATTAAATTTAAGTTTGCTGTGCTGCCTTAAAAAAACGACTTCCATGCCTATACGGACAGTGCTTTACCAATTGACTGTGGTCAAACCATTAGTCAGCCATTTGTTGTGGCTTATATGACGGAAAAATTACAATTACAACCTAATGACAAAGTTTTAGAAATCGGCACCGGCAGTGGCTTTCAGACCGCAATTTTAGCCCAATTAGTGAAGGAAGTATACACCATTGAAATTTATCCTGAATTAAGCCAAAAAGCTCAAAAATTATTAACTCAATTGGGCTATCAAAGCATTTTTTGCCACCAAGGAAATGGCAGCCTGGGTTGACCAGAAAAGAAAGAATTTGAGGCAATTATTTTGACCGCTGCCAGTAAGCAAATTCCTAGTTCTCTATTAAAGCAACTAAAAATTGGTGGGAGAATGATTTTACCATTAGAAATTGCTTCTGGGGAGCAAATACTCTATTTAGTGAAAAAACTAACCCCAGAAAAAATCCAGTCTATTCCTCTTTTACCAATTAGATTTGTGCCTTTGCTGTAAAAATTGCTTAAAAATGTCCTCTGAATTTATTTTTCTCACTCTTTTTCCACAAATTTTTCACAATTATTTTCAGATATCAATAGCAAAAAAGGCACTACAAAAAAGCTGTTTTAATTATCATGTTTATAATATTAGAAACTGGGCTATTCGGGGTCAAGTAGATGATTATATTTATGGCGGTGGTTCAGGAATGCTCTTAAAAATTGATTGTTTAGTGAAAACTTTAGCGGCGGTTTATGAAAACCATGGAAAAGATTGCTATGTTATTTTACTTTCTCCTCAAGGAAAAAGATTCACCCAAAAAGATGTCGAACGCTTAATTCAAAAGAAAAATTTAGTCTTCATTTGCGGTCATTATGAAGGTATTGATGAGCGAGTTAATAATTATATTGATGAACAAATTTCGGTAGGTGATTTTGTTACTAGTGGAGGAGAAGTACCGGCTTTGTTAATTACCGAAACTTTGATTCGAGCTTTGCCAGGAGTTCTCTCGCCTGAAGCCTATCAAAATGAAACTTTTCAAACCGAGAATTCATTTGATTTTGCTTCTTACACCCGTCCGGCTATTTTTAGAGGACAAAACGTGCCAGAGGTTTTATTATCAGGCAATCATTCAGAAATTCAAAAATGACGTCAAGCGAACAGTCAACAAAAAGCCCAAAAACAAAGACAAAATCCTAAGCGACAAAAAACAATCCCCCAGGCTAATGAATGAAGATTAGTGCCAAAAATAAAAAATAAAAAATAAAAATATGAAAAGCAAAATAGCCAATAACCCCGACCAGTGAATTATCACTCGCCAAGGAGATTTTGTGCGAATTAAAGATAGTTTAATATCTGTTGAAACAAGTTTAGAAAAAATCCGCGAGCATTTAAAAAAACCCTACAAAGGAATAGTTCGCTTTCAAGCAAAAACTTCCGAACAAATTAGTAAAGAAAGATACGATAAAGTTTTAGAAGAAGTTAATTTCGATTACAACAAATTACATGATTGAATCTATGACGAGAAAAATAAAGATAAGATTGAAATAATTAAAGGCAAAGAATTAAGCGACCAAGATTTTTGTTGAGAAGCGACAGCAGCAATAATTAACCATATTTTAAATAGTGTTCATTTTGATAACGATAAATATGGCAAAAATTGAAATACCAAATGGAGAATTAAAGGTTTGAATGAGCAAAAAATTTTAGTTAATGAGGAAACCGGACAAGTTATTTATAATGCAAAAAGCGATTTTGGCTCCTCCTTGTTGTCTAAAATATGAGATAGAGAAGAATATAGCATTCCTTTACCCAAAGAGACAAAACCAAAAGAAAAACATACTTCTACGCTGATTTTCCTCCACGGAACTTACGGAGCTGGTTCACTAGACCAAATGGCAGAAAAATTCCCTGGTCTGAAAGTTATTCATCCTTATTCTCCAACTCTCCAATATAATATGTGGCATGGTTCTAAACCAGCACCAGGCGGACAATGTAAGGGTTGAATCAATATTACTGGTGATGCTTGGGAAATTATGGAGCAAGATGTTTGTCCGGATAACACTCAAATAAATTATGACAAAACAGACCAATCAATTCATTTAGATTATCCTCAATTAATGCGTTCAGTGGCTTATGTTAACGAAATTGTTGAGCAAGAAATTACTAGAGGAATTCCACCCGAAAAAATTTTCATTTCTGGCTATTCGCAAGGTGGTTTGTTAACTTTGGCAGTGGCTTTAACTTCTGAGCATAAATTAGGTGGTTTTATTTCTCTTTGTGGTCTTCTGCCTCGCCGAGATAAGTTATTAGCCGTCACCCAAGACAAAAATAAAAAAACTCCAATACTTATTATCAATAATTCCCAAGACCCTTGAATTCCTTTTTGAACCGGTAAAAAGACTTATGAAATTTTGAAAAATAGAGGCTATAATGTAGAATTTAAAAATCATCCTGGATTAGGGCATAATTGAAAAGATGAAGACATAATAAATTTTCTCGAAAGGTGTCTTTCACAAAAAACAATAGACGAAGCACAACCAAATCAAAAAAATGAGAAAAAACAAAATTCAGTTGATTCCCAAAAAAATGCTTTCATAATTGGTGGCATATTTCTGCTAGTAATTATTTTTATTTACTTTTTAGCAGGATGAATTTTTAATAAAAAAGCAATATAATATCAACAAGAACCAGCTCACTGGGGCATAACATTGACGTCCCTTTTTCCTTTTAAACCATTTTTGCTTTTTACATTTACTCAATTTTCGGCTTTTTGTAAAGGGGAATAATAATGAGGATTGGGAGCAAAATCGGTTAAAGGAGGAAGAATTAAGGGCAAATCTTTTTCAGGCAAAAGTTCTTTTTGGTTGTTTTCTCAATGAATAACTGGAATAGGCTCACCTCAATAGCGTTGACGAGAGAAAATTCAGTCTTTTAAATGATAAAATTCTCCTACCCGTCCTTTTTTCTCTTTTTCTAAATGCTGGTTGATAATCTTAATCGCTTGGGACTTGCTATTCAAGTCATTAATTAAAGGAGAATTAATAAAATGACCGCTCATGTTTCCCTCATGGCTATTTATCTGGAAAATTTTCTTTATTGGCAAATTGTATTTTACGGCAAAAGCATAGTCAATTTGTTTGTTTTGTTTTAACTCTTTCTCATCAACTAAATTGGGGATTTTTTGATATCCAAATATCTCGGGTGAAAAAGCATTGATCATTACCGCACCCGTTCCATATTCATTAATGACAAAATTAGTTATTCAGATTGGCAGTCTTTCATTAGTTAAAGGATGCTGACAATAATTTCCCGTAAACTCTGCCTCTATCTCTTTACTTTCTTTATCTTTTCATGTAGTGTAAAATTCATTTACTTTGTTTTGCCTATCCAAAGAAATGATTTGAGTAATAAGAGGATGTTTAACAGACAAAGCAAGGGCGGATACTCCATAAAGAGTTTGGGGGCTTTTGGTGAAAACAGTAATAGAAAAATTTTTATCCTCTATGAGAAAATTAATAAAAGTTCCTTGGTTCAGCCCAATTCAATTTTTTTGCAAACTTTTAATGCTGTGGGGTCAGTCTAATTCCTCCAAGCCTCTTAATAATTCAGGGGCATAGTTGGTAATTTTCAAAACTCATTGAGGGATTTTTTTTTCTATTACAGGGTAATTTCCACGTTCGGAAACTTTTATACCGTCGACATTTTTTATTTCCTCATTGGCGAGTACAGTTCCTAATTTTTCACATCAATAAACTGGTATTTCTTTGTATTCGGCTAATCCTTGTAAATATATTTGGCGGAAAATTCATTGAGTTCAGTGATAATAAGCAGGTTCGCTAGTATTAATTTCTTTACTTCAATCGTAAGAAAAGCCCATTTTTGACAATTGCTTCTTGAAATTTTGAATGTTGGTGTTAGTAAAAGTAGCTGGATGGTTGCCAGTTTGGATAGCGTATTGTTCGGCAGGCAAGCCAAAAGCGTCTCAACCAATTGGAAAAAGAACATTATATCCTTGTTGGCGGTAAAATCTAGCCATTACATCCGAAATTGTATAACAACGAACATGTCCGACATGTAGACCACTGCCGCTAGGATAAGGAAACATGGTTAAAACATATTTTTTTGGTTTAGATTTGTCTAGTAAATCAGTAAAAAATGTTTTATTTTGCTGTCAATATTTTTGTCATTTTTCTTCGATTTCTTGACATGAATAATAAACCATACTTATTTTTTTAGAAAAAGAACAAACAAAAAGTGCGATTAACCAAAAATGGCAAGTCTTTAACTTTTATGAATAAGGATTTTTTACTTTAAAGAATTCTATTTTTTAGTCTTTTTATTTTTTCCTAGCAAATAACCAATTATCAAGGTAGTTCCAATTACTAATATTCCGCCAACAATTAACAAAATAGTTCCAGTATTTTGGGACTTGGTAGAATTGTCTTCGTTTTTTTGTTTATTAGTCGGTTCAGTAATTTTAGTTGAAGTTTGTGTATTTTGGATTTGTTGATTATGCTTGTCTTGTGTGATTTTTCCGTTTTCTGAAACAATAGTAATTTCGTTTTCTAGTTCAACAAATCTTTTAAAATTATAGGGGTTATCTTTTCCGCCAGTGCCTCAGTATTGAGGAGGCACTTTCTCAATTAGCACATTAGTATCAATTAAATAAGATCCTTTTTCAAAAGAAAATTTATCTAAAACAGGATGCTCTTCAGCAATATAAAGATAATGAGTTCTGCCGTTTTCTTTGCCGAAAAAACTGACAAATCCTCGCATGTCCTTGTATGCTATTCAGCAATCGGTTTTTGCTCTTTTCTAGACCTTCCTCAATAATAATACAATCCAGGAGTGCTGTCTAATTTTTCCTGGATTTCGGCTCATTTTTGCTCAAATGCTTCTTTTTTTTCTTCATTTCGCTTTTCAATTAAATTAACAATTTCCTCTCAATCAGCGGGTTCTAGTTGGTGTTCGTGAATCATTCATTTCTTTTCTTCTTTTTCTCTCCTATCCACAATTCAATTATCTCTCTCTTCACTGTGGACGCCATTGATATCTTTCCTAAAAATAAAAGCTATCATATCACCATATCTATTTTCATATCCTAATATTTCCGGAATAGCAACGTATTCTGGTGAATTTAATTTGGATTTTAGTTTTTGGGCTAATTCTTTTTTATTTATTTTTTCTTTGTTCATGTTATATAATTTTTACAACTATAAAATTTTTTTTATAGATATTAATTTTTATTTTTTGGTGAAGTTAGCTTTTTAAATAAGCATTTTGACTGAAAAGCAAACCAAGTATAATTGATCGAAAACATTACAATGTAAAAATTACAATATGCTGATTACTAATGATTGATGAGAAAAAAAAAGAAAAGAAGTAAAAAAAACTGTGGGAGGAAAATTTCAACACACTTCTCCAATGCAAACTACAGACATTGAAAAAATTGTCCTTAATAGCGGGGTGAACCAAGCAATTACTAACCAACAATTCCTCGAAAATACTGAAAAATTAATTCAAAAAATCGGTCAAGGACAAAAGCCGGTCAGAACCAGAGCCAAGAAATCCATAGTTTCTTTTAAATTACGGGAAGGAATGCCAATTGGTTGCAAATTAACTCTGCGGAAAAAAAAAGCTTGACAATTTCTCTTTAATTTAGTTAATCTCAGTTTGCCCCAAATTAAAAATTTTCGGGGTCTATCAAAAAAAAGTTTCGATCGTCGGGGCAATTACAATTTAGGAATTAATGATTTAAATATTTTTCCGGAAACTACTTATGATTTGACTTTTAAAAATCAAGGTTGTCAAGTTATCATTGTTTTCACTTCTTCTTCAACTGAGGAAAATGCTTATTTTTTAGAATTATTACATTTTCCCTTCTCAAAAGCTCATTAGATGAACTATCCGTTCTTATAAATGTCGTTCTGCTTGCCATCTTCTTCCGTTTACGAACAAGGATAATTAGATAACAATAAATAATACTACTGACAAAATCAAGCATTAAAATTAAATTCTTTATCAGTTGGCTAGTTTTTTTTGGAATTAGTATGAATGCGTAGTGTGCGAAAATTAATGCTTTTTTAATTTATTCTTTTTAGTAATGCTTTAAATTCCTGGTAGTGAATGCGTGTTTTGTGATAATCCGGAACTAATTGAAGAATTTTGCGAAGTCTCCAAAAAATGCTTTGAATACTCAAAGTCAAAAGATAAACTAAAAAAGCATCTGAAAAATCAACTGCTTCAAAACGATAATAAAGAAAGTAAAAAATTACACTCAGACCAGGAATAATTAAAATTGGCAAGTTGAAAATTATTTTTTGAAGAAAATACGACCTATTTTTGCTTAAATTGTGATCCAAAAGTTGAAAAGTTTTGGCTATTTTGGCTTTTTTTTGTTGCCTTTCGTTTCAATCATCGTTTGGCAAAGTTAAACTAGATATGGCAGACTGAATTTGTTGTCTTTCCGCTTGGGAACGCTGTTTTTTTTCTCATTCTATTTTTTTTTGTAATCTAGAAGTAATAAATATATAAAAAAGAAAACCTAAAATGACAATTAAATTAAACCAGAGAACAAATTTTTTTAATTCTCCCTCTAGGCTTTTACTACTCAAAAAAAAGAAGAGAAAATAAACGCTAAAACCAATTGCCGCTAAATTGCGGAATATTTCACTGGGAAAATTAATAAAATGAAAAGATAAACGAGAAGCATCATAAAAAATAACTTGATTGATTTTTTCTCAATTATTGCTAACCGTTTCAGGAGATGATTGGGAACAATGATAAATTACTAATTTCTTGAGTCAATTTTTGCTTAAATTAACGCAATAGTCTTTCAAAAGTAAACTACCAATTTCAAGCAGAAAAACTCCTAAGAAGAAACATAAAAATAAAATAGATACTAATTGGAGGTATCATTGAGGATTAACTTTTGGATTAAGATTTTGTTGCCAAAAAATCCAGTTAAAATATCCATAATTAGGATTTTTTTGGTTAAAATTAGTACGAACATTAAAAGGAATTAAAGCCCAGAAATAACAAGTTAAAAAAATCAATAAGAAATAGGTAACACATAAAAAACTTAATTTTTTGAGTCATACATTAGTGCTTTTTGGCGGGCAGTGGTGCCGGTTGTTTTTTTGGTTTTCTCCGTAAGTATAAGGCATGATATAGATATTTTTTCGCTTTTTAGGAATTATTTGTCAAAGTTAGTAAAAAATCATTACTGTTTAGCCCTAAATCAATTATTTTTGTTTTTTCTTTGCGTATCATTCTATACCTAATATTCGATCAGGATTAACAAACACTTATTATTATCGGCTTTCTTGATAAGCGAAAATACACAACGCTAACTAAAATTTTCTATATATGACAAATAAACAAAAGAAAAGAATTCTGCTCGTTTCTCTTTTAGCAGTAATAAGTATATTTACTTTACTTATCTTTTTTCAAATTGGCTACAAAACAGGATTAAAAAAAAATGAGTGGCGACACTCACCAACAGAAAGAAGATATCAAGAAAATTATTTTGTAAACGAGTTAAGGAAAAAGGGTTATTCAGAATCAGACATTAAAATTATTCTCCTTAACTTTCAAGATTGAGGTTGAGAATTAACGGCTGACGACATGCCTGACTTGAATGCTGAAAAAAGAATTGGGGTAATAAAACAATTAGCCTATTATCCAGAAAGATTTGACCTTCCGGAAGAAGAAAGAGGATTTTGTAGCGATTTAGTAATTATTTTGCGAAAGCGACCAGAGAAAAGTTTTTTTGGTCCCATTATTAATTTTGACTGCCGCATTCATCCTGAAATTCGCAATTACGAAAAAGAAATTATTGATTTTGCTTTGCGTCACGAACCAAATTATTCACAATGAGAAATAGCAATTTTGTGTCTGGTAGGAAATCAAGGAGTAAGCGGCACTTCAGCGGGAGCAGCAACTTATTTGGCTTTATTGAGTGCTTTACACCAAAAACCTCTTTCTCGAAATTTAGCAGCAATGGGGGAATTTAGAAAAGGGGAAGTCTTTCCGGTGGCAGCTTTACGGGCAAAAATTACGGCTGCTTTTCGTCAAGGAGTAAATTGTTTGGTTCTTCCTCGACAACATTTGGCACCAATCGTAGAGTCGCAGGAACTTGATGATTTATTTTGAGCCATTTTTAATGGAGGTGCCGAAGGTTACCAGCAAGAAGTTAACAGTAATATTCAAGAAAAAATCGAAACTCATTTTGTAGAAACTGCCCAAGATTTAGAAGGATTTTTTTTCCAAACTCCAGAATGAAAAAACAAACGAGAAAAGCAAAATCAAGAAATCGAAAATTGAAAAAAGACCCAAGAGCAGCGAAATTATTCTTTTGAAAAAGAGCATTCTAAAAACGAGGAAAACAATGAAAGCGGAATTTATACTTGTGATAAGTGCGGAAGAAAATTTAATTTTGACAGAGAAGGAGGTAGTTTTTTCCAATCAACCATTTATAAACCAGGCAGTAAAAAGAAAGAAGAAAAAAAACGGCGTTGGCTTTGCCGCAATTGCATGTAATTAATTAAGAATTTTAGCTGATTTATATTAAATAGCAAGTAAATAAAAATCTTTGATTTTTACTTGATTTTCTGCCAGATAGTCTTTAATTTTAGTTTCTGGGTCGCGAAAATTACTTTGTTCTAAAAAACAAGTGCTAGTTAAGTGTTTATTTAATTTACCTTGTACGATTCTTTGAATAATTTCTGGATTTTTTCCTGGATTTTCTTCTTGGGCTTGGGCGAAAAACTTTTGCTTTTCTTTTTCTAAAATCTCTCGAGGTATACTATCTAGCGAAAGAAATTGAGGTTTGTTTGCCACTATTTGGAGGGCTAGTTCATGAGCAATTTCTTCGTTCCCTCCTTGAATTAAAACCACAGCTCCGATTTTTTTATTATGATGAAGGTAAATTCCTGATTGTTCTTTTTGTTGAAAAAAGCGGCATCTTTCTAAGTTAATTTCTTTGTCTTTAGTGACTAATGATAACTTATCTAATAATTCCCGAACATTTGGAGGCAATTCTCAATTATCTTTTCCGTAAAAATCAGAAAAGTTGTCTAGAAAAATGTCTCCAATTTTTGCTACTGCTTCTTGAAATTGTTTATTATCTGAAGGAATAGAAGGATCCTTATAGGTAAGTAAGAAAGCCACTATTTTCTTTTCTTTTGCTTTGATACTTACAATACCAAATTTTTGTTCTCGTGTGTCTCCGTCTTCTTGTTCTTTTCGGAAAAGTTTGGCTTTTTCTTCTAATCATTGTTGGGCTAATTGTAAGTCATAATTATTTTTTTCTAGAGCCTCTTGGCAAAATTTAATGCTGATCCCTTCCATTTTAGAGCGTAATTCTTTTACTTTGGTTAATTTTTCTGTATCCATATAAAGTAATTTTACAGACTTTTTAAACTGTTCGTTCCGTCTATATTCAAACCAATATGAACGAATAAAAACCCAAGAAGCAATGCCCAACGGCACTGCTGGTGAATTCCAGTCAGACAGTAAGCAAGCACTTCTAAACAAAACAATAATTATTAAAGGAGTATTAACCTCCCGCATTGAAACCAGAGATAAAGGAAACCAATCCTATTATTATGGTTTCTTTAAACTCGAAAACCAAGCTGGAGAATTCCCAGTGGTATTTAAAACCAAACC